AAAAAAAAAAAAAAAAAAAAAAGATGATGGCTTGTTGTCCTAAGGATAATCAGGCAAGGTTATTTGTTTCCCTACACGATCCCACAGACTCACAGAGTTGGAAACCAAAGCAGCACTTCTGGTTTTCCACAACAAACCAGCCTCTGCCTTGGATAAATCAGCCTTCCATGGGATAAGCACTTCTACCCTCTCCCAGCTTCTCCACCATGGAGGAGAGTTGCTTGGCTCCAGCCCTTGCCTATGTTCAACATATCAAAAAGCCAGCCTCCAGTAGGCAAGCCCACCTGCCAGAAACCAAAATGCAACCTCAGCCGAAGGGACAAAGTGCACCCCCAGCTTTAACAGAACAGTCCGGTCCAGCATCTCATAGTCTGAAGAGCTCAGCAGAGCACAGAGATTACAAATTGTTAATGAGGCTTCTGAAGGGCAAATTTCTTACTGTTGCAAAACATTAAAGGGAACAAAAATAGGATATGTGCCATTATTTTTTTTAAATCTCCTTTGTGTTGTAAAAAGATATAAAATGTTTCCCCCCCAAGCTGTTTGGGGTTTGCTTTGTTTTATTTTTTAATACAGAGATGATCTGTCTGCAGAAACTGGTTACTGGGGCCTAAAATTTAAACTTCAGTGTAAAAACAATTCTTCTAGTACTTGTCATTGTAAAGATATCTGTGGCCACAGACAGACATGATGTTTGAAGCACCCCAAGCGCCTCTAAAGCACTCCAAGCAGTGAGGGTACAGATATTCCAAAGAAGCAGTTCAAAAATGGCTAAAGCACATAAAAATAATCCTTGAAAAAAAGCAACATATTTAAAGAGGTTCCTGAAACATCTTCACCCTGAGGATGATAGGGGCTTGCTCAGTCTTCCAACATCCCACAGTGCTCCACTCCCCACCCCTCAAGAGAAAGCAAGGCAGGCAGCTAGTGAGCAATCTTGTGTGCTTGGCTGTCCTCAGAAACTTCTGGAGGCTGAAAGACATAAAAGGATTTCCTGTTCTCCAGCCTCCGGGCTGAAAAACACTACCACTGCTTGCTTTTGCAGACATTTTGAAGTGCTCCAAGTAGGAGGAGGCATGGCTACATGTCCACACAAAGCACTCACGATTTGAAGTGCTCCAAACTGGAGCAGAATTTGTAGCATTTCAAATGAACGTCTATCCACACCCTGTAATCCATCAACGGTTAGAAATGCAGTACTGTCTGTCCAAGTCTACAATCAGTCAATAACAAGCCTTGAGAATTATAAACCACCCCATTCACCTCTCGGTGGCGTTAACTCTGAAACTTAAAACATGAAAATTTAGATGTCAATCTAATTGTTTCTGCTGGTATATTTAATAGAAACATTCATGTAATAGACTTACCTGTCCAGCTCAAACTGCCTTCCTAGAAGTCAGAAACACAAACCCTTCCTGGTCCAGCTGGCAAAAACTCCCAGCACTCCCCACAGCCATTCCTGTAAAACTGCTACATTTCTGTGGGTACAAAATTCTGCTGGATATTTAAAACAGAAAAGACAGGAGTAATATAAAATGGAAGTGGTGTAAAAACAAACAACATAGGCATTAAAATTGATTGCTTTATTTTATAGACAATTCATTAAAATCCCTTATTTTTTAAATGGAAAGGAGACTGCCCCATAATTTCCAAGCCACTCCACCAAAGTACCACAGAACTAAGGAACAATGAAAAAAGACTTTAGCTCCAGTTTCTCATGTGTTACATATGGTTTTGCTTCCTGCTAGGGATAAATATAAAAATGAGGCAAATTGGAACAAGAGATAATTTGCAGGACATTATCAATGCAACAGCCTGCAGGTTCTCTGCAGGTTGAAACAAGAACCGTAGAGGAGAAGATTTGGAAGGTGATGCCAGGAAGCTTGCAGCAAGCTCCATGTGCTTGGGAAACTGCACCACAGCTCTGAGCAGACAAAGCATGACACACCTGCAAGTAGCAGCACTGAATACAGTGCACTTAAACTAAAGATCCAAGCTGACAGTCCAAAAGGAGTCCCTTCATTATTGCACTGAGCACTGAGCATGAAACAAGCAAGCAGCTTAGGCTACAACATTTGGTTTTGTTTAAAAAAAAACAGGAGAGGGAAAGGAAAATGGACAAGGAGAAAGACCTAACCAATTAATATGGCATTCTGCAAGGGAGGACATTCTAGGACAGGAACTTTTTTTGAGGAACCAGAAATAGAAACCAGCTAAAAGCAGAAAGTGAATTTGACTTGAAAGTGGCCAGTTCATTGTCATCAAACAAAATAGCAAAAATAAACAGCAGAAAGAAGGAAAAGCAAGTTCTATTTTAAAATGCTCCTAGTGTTAAGGTATTAACAAAACACTGGTTAGGAGGTTTAACTCTGTGTGCACAACACAGAGACCCAGACAGAAATTTTCATCCATATTTGTGAAGGTCTCAAAATCCTATAAAAATGTTTTCTGTTTCTGTGTTACTAACCCAAGGGGAAAAATAGTCTTGCAAGTTATTCCTAGCACTTCTTTGTAGCAGGCATGTTTTTCTTCCCAGTAAGTCAATGCATCAAAAAAGGTTGATGGTTTCCCAAACAGTACTGAAACAAATAAACCCAAAAAAAGTGTATAGGAAGGATGAATAATCAGGCCTTCCTGGTTGTTGATCTGTGATACACTAGACAATTGCAGCAGAGGAAACATTCATCTTAGACAGGCACACAGCTTCCTCTGGTGTTTCACTGCGGCATTAAACCAAGTGCTGAAAGCTTTCCCAATCAGATGATTTTCTTTCCCCTTTGAGTCATAGAAGTGACTTTTGTTTGTACTTTACCTGCTTAAACAAACAGCAAGTGCTCTGTGGTGTATTCCAGGGGCAGAACAGGAAATTTCTCCCAACATGCAGTGACAGCTCAAAACATTCAACCCTGTTGGAAGTTAGCAACATGAGTAAATAGAGGAGCAGATTGGCTAGGTCATAGGTAAATGACCTACCATCCTCCAATGAGATTTCACTTTTCAGGTTGGGTCGCTGGAATTCTAACACTGCTGTTAGGCCAAGAGCAGAGATCCTCATGCCTGTGGTATTTGCTCAGAGGGCATGACCACTTCGGGCAAGTCTTTCATGTGAGTCAGCTTTAGCTGATCCATGGGAAAATTCCTTTGTGTTGTCAGGCAGGGTTTGTTCACAGTTTCAAAGGATAATCCGACTGAAAGGAAAATACATCTAAATTTTAGCATATTTGGGTCAACTGTTCAATTAAATCTAGTACAAAGCAAAGGACGTTCATTTTTTTTCCCCTTTCAGAGTCTGTTTTAATAACGAGACTCATCTATCAAAAATCTGCATTCTTTAAACTACCTCCTTCTAGTATTGGATTCCATGTGATCTCAGCCCCAAATTGAACTTCCTTGCAAGGAAATACAGGAACATTAGTCACACAGGATAAAAGCATGTCACACCTGTCTACCCTGTATAAGATACACTAACAGCCTGATCCCACATATACTGACTCTGGTGAATAAGTCCTACTTACAAAAAGAATCCAGCTGGCTTCACTGGGAGCATGTATACCAGGCTTGATCCAATGCCCATTGAAGTGGTGCTCTGGAGAAGTCCTCAAGGACTGGAAGAGGGCCAATGTTGTGCCCATCCACAAGAAGGGCAGGAGGGAGGACCCAGGTAACTACAGGCCAATCAGCCTAACTTGCATCCTAGGGAAAATCCTAGAAAAGTTCATCAAGGAGTCCATCTGTGATAAGCTTGCAGAAGGTAAGATTCTGAAAGAGTCAGCATGGCTTCGTTGCGGGCAGGTCTTGCCTTACCAATCTCATCTCCATCTATGACCAGGTAACTCGCCACCTGGACACAAGAGAGCAGGTTGACATTGTATACCTAGACTTCCAAAAGGTCTTTGATCTAATATCCCACTATGTCCTCACGAGAAAATTGGAGGGTTGTGGGCTTAACTCCGAGACAGTCAGGTGGGTGAGAAACTTGCTGCAGGATAGGACCCAGAGAGTCGTAGTGAACAGATCCGTGTCATCCTGGCGAAAAGTGGGCAGCAGCATCCCACAGGGGTCGGTGCTCGGTCCAGTACTTTTCAACATCTCTTTAATGATTTAGATGTGGGGGTGAAGAGCTCACTGGCCAAGTTCACAGACAACCCCAAGTCATGGGGAAGTGTGGTCACGCTTGAAAATAGGCTACAGTTACATGCAGACCTAGGCAGGCTAGCAAG